ATCTTCTAGGTGTTCTAGAATTTCTTGTACATAAGCTTTAGGAGTTGAGAAATCTCATATTCCCATTTTCTTTAAAGAGTCTTGAAGCTGTTTCATACGAGCAAATTGAGCCGTCGTTATAGATGTGAGCTGGCTCGGTTGTATGGTCTGTTGAACCTGACTTTGTGGTATGTGACTCGTATAAACTGGCTATTGGGCCCATGTAGCAGGTTGCCCCAAGGACTGAGACTGAGGTTGAACTTGAAGTGTTGATTGTCGGCTTGTAGACTCACCCGAGCTGAGTTGGGTCAGAGCATACCCATTACTTGGAGGTTGCACAACTTGGCCACACAAGGAGGCCTGGGGGATAGGATCACCACTTAACTGGGATGGATGGCTCAAGCTGCTATGACGATTGGACCTCTGACCTCGAGTGGCTAGGTTTACTTGACTCTAACCTTGGTTGGATGATCTATCCCTAGGGTTAGGGTATTCTCTTGCCGCAGCACTGGACTGAAAGAGTGAAGGAATGTCATAACTACTGCCAGATGGAGTCTGCCCTCTAGGTAGTCTTAGGCTCGAGTGATGATTAGAACTAGACCTCTGACCCGTAGTGGATTGGATTAGCAGGCTAACAGTCTTAGGATTATCTTGGTTTGAGTCAAAATGTTGGACTTGGCCTAAGGCTTGAGCTTCTGACCTGACTTTCATGGATTGAGTGCACTGGATAGTGTATCCTCTATTGATCAGGTCTTGAAAGTAATCATGCACTTTAGGATTGTCTTTATATCGAGTTAGGTCAAAACCCTGATCTTCATTGGTGATGGGTTGCTTGGGTAGACTTTCCCTTGTTGTATGTGAACCCACTCTCCTACTAACTGGCAGATTGCCAAGACTAGAATGTTGGGCTGCTAATTGACCATCGTGGTTCACACGGTTGAGATCGGCTTACTTAGAGACTTGGGTCGGGACCTTATTCTTGTTATGCCGACTGGATTTGAGGTTAACCCCTATGTATTGGAGGATTGACCCAGCCTGACCCCTTGACTATTCAGGGTATTACAAACCTTATCAACCTGTTGGCTCGTGAGTTTTAAAGGGTGGCCTTGAAGGTGGCTTAGACGGCTAGGTTTGGTTCTATGTGGGTTGAGAGTCGGCTCACTGACACGAGTGCTATGGATGATTTGTGAGGGAAAGGTACCTCTCAGACTGACTAGGTTCTCTGGATCTAGACTGAGCTAAGACCATAGGGTTGGACCTTGCTCTGCCATGATCTTGGGTCATGATTCCTAGACTCGGTGAGATCTAGACTTGACGCCTTAGGGTAGACCTAGTTTGACTCTAGGGGCAAAAACCCTAAGTAAGACCTAGGCTAAGACTAGACTGGAACCTACACTTGCTAAACTCAATGGATTTTGGTTCAAACTCTGAACTAGGGTAAGCCTAGTCTAGCTCTAGAGGCAACTCTATGCTTAGACCTATACTAAAACCTAGACTAAGATCTAGAATAGATGGTGCACGACTCTCGGCTAGGACCAAGAGTGGGTATAGGTTTGGAGGGGTAAGCAACCCTAATGTTTTTTTTTTTTTCTGATATTTTTAATTTTGATGAAACACAGTTAAACTAAG